TCCCAGTGCCTGGGGAGCCCCACGGTGGTTCCCAGTGGTCTGATGGACCCTCCTGCCCTCCAGTTTGGACCACTGGGCCACCAGCCTGGGGTTGTTCCTCCCCGTGGGCAGGACTTCACCCGTCCCCTCCTTGAACGAACGCAGCCCATGACGCCGTCCCCCTCCTTTGCAACAAGGGCACGTTGGTGGCTCACGGTCAACTTGGTGCCCACCAGGATCTCCAGAGCCTTTGTTCTTCCAGCCGGGTGCCCCCCCCAGTATATACTGGTGCTGAGGGTGGGTCTTCTCCGGGTGTGGGACGTCCCACTTCTCCTTGCTGAACTCCCCGGAGGTTCCTCTCTCCATCCTGGTGAGGTCTCTCTGGGTGGCAGCACCACCCTCTGGCGTCTCAGCTGAGCCTCCCACGAGGTGTCATCTGCAAACTGGTTGAGGACACGTTCTGCCCCATCATCCAGATGGCTAAAAAGTGAGGGCCGCTCCGCCGGAGCGTGAAAACCTCAGTCTTGCAGGTTACCCGGTGAGGTGGTGGAGTCTCCAACCCTTGGAGATCCTCACAATCTGCCCGGACGTGGTCCTTCACGGTGGTTGTAGGTGACCGGGCTTGAGGGTTGGCCCGGGTGACCTCCAGAGGTCCCATCCCACCTCAACCAGCGCTGTGAAATGCTCGCTGGGCAGCTTCGTGGTTTCTTGGGGGGGCTTTGCGAGGAGAGGACGGCCCGTCCCCCAGGTGACGTTCAAACATCTGTGCCACCCCATGAGGGGCAGCACCTCAGTTGACCCTTCCGTGGTGGGGAGGGTCATCTCCTCGCTGGGTTTGGTCCCATTGGGTTCCCTCAGGAAGGTCCACGTGTGGATGGGCTCCATAGAGTTGTGCCGAGGACCTGTTTCACCCCATCTTTGCCCCTCGTAACCTTTGCGGGTGCGTTGGATGGAGGATTTCTTCTCTCTTGATTTCCCGGGCACGGCCGAATCCCGTTAGAAATTGGGGGAATCCCCATGACAGTTTTTTAGGTGGCCAAGAAGCTGATGTTGGGGTGGTGGTCCAGAGCAGGAGGACACCCAGGTGAAGCAGGAGGCCTGATGTTGCAAAGTTGACTCTTGGGAGTCAACGCGGGACCATCCCATGTTTTGACCGTCTCTCGTTTCCATATAACGGCGGAAATATCTGTTGTTGAGGGCGAGAGGAGCCTCTCCGAGGACCGCGTCGGTCCGAGGCGTACCAGTGATGACCTTTTGGGTGGGTCAAGGAGACGCGGTGGCCGTTTGCCACCCTTGGCCGCGGCCACGTTTCGCTCTTTCGTGGCTCGTCCCTTCTTGTCTCCTCAACCAAAGACACCCGGATCTCCACATGGCCTCGGGCAGAGCTGAGCTTTGGCTCCCGACCCCGTCTGGTGGGAGAAGGAAAGAGGGAAGGGTAGGAAAGCCGGAGTTTCACCTGGACCTCTCCGATGTCTCCACCAGGCTGGGAAGGTGAAACGAAAGCTGCTGCAAGGTCCACAAGGGAAGGCTGAGCCATTCCTGGGGCGGATCCGGCCGGGACCAGCATCCCAGCCAGGGCGGTGGGATGGAGCTGGTTCAACCCACGCTCGAAACCCACGTCCGTCTCCTCCGGGGCGCTTCTCACCTTCCGCCGCCTTCCTTCCCCAGATGGAGAAGGAGGAGGAGACCCGGGAGATCCTGCTCCCCAACTGGCAAGGCAGCGGCTCCCACGGCATCACCATCGACCAGACGGACGATGGGGTCTTCATCAAACAAGTGCAGCAAAACTCCCCAGCCGCCAAGATGGGCGTCGTGAAGGAAGGTGGGATCACGGGAGGCTCCGGGTGGGAGGGGCCCTTTACAGCCCATCCAGTCCAACCCCCCAGCCACGAGCGGGGACACCTCCCCCCAGCCCAGGTTGCCCCAAGCCCCGTCCAACCTGGCCTTGAACCCCTCCAGGGATGGGGCAGCCCCAGCTTCTCGGGGCAACCTGCCCCAGGGGCTCACCACGGCACAGCCAACAATTTCTTCCTCGTACCTCACCTAAATCTCCCCTTTTTCAGCTTAAAACCGTTCCCCCTCGTCCCATCACTCCCCTCCCCGATCACGAGTCCCTCCCCGGCTCTCCTGGAGCCCCTT